AGCGCATTTTCAGTTAAATAGCTATTTCTGAATAAAAACCCGGACGTTCCATGAGATGTCATCTTTCAGAATCTTTCACTGGGGTAGTCGGAATTCTGATTCACATTTTTTGTCACCAGGGCCTTTATTTTCATACTTAACCTGAAACAGAAAAACTAAAGCATGTTAAATATCAAGAGCCATCGAAATTGTTGTAGCAAACCGCACACACAATCGGGGTTCTCCATCTTCCCTGAAGTGGGCTCCTCCCATGTTAGGACCAGAGGGTTTGTTCTCCCCTGGGCCACACCATCGGTTTCTCTGTCCCTCGGGGTCTTTATCTTCCTCGTTCAGGGCATACAGCTCTGTCATTGACTTGCTTGGCCTTGCTACCAGCACATTAGCCAAGGCTTTATGCTTCAGAATGGTTTTGTTTGCTTTACTCGGGGAGGGGTGGGAGGCTAGCCACCTGCCTCCCTGCCCTCCAGAACAAGGAGTATTTGACGTGATGAATTTTAAATCAATTGTGCAGGGGCTCTGAGGCTTGTGTGGAAACTCTTTGGGGAAAGGAATTGAACCGAGTGCACCCTGGATCTGTCCTGAGCCCAGGGTGGCTCTGAACACCAATTTGTCATTTCTTTGGCGTGGTCAGGAAGCGGCTCCTGCCCACGTGTGTTTCAGCACACCATCAGCCTGTATGCAGACTATAGCCAACTGCTAATACACAGCACAGTGGGCAAGATTGCCAGCACTCATTCCCGACAGAGTAACTTGCTTCCGTTTTATGACCTTGGAGACACATCTGTATAGTAACTAGACAGTGTTTTACCCAGCTAAGCAGGATATGCACTCTGAGCTAGATCTAAACTTTCTCCTGAACTGAGTTTTGTGTTTTCTTCACTTAGCATTTTCACTATTATATGTATATACCTTACGTGTACAGAAGTGATCACAATTTCACACACAGAAGCATTGATTCTAGTCGTTTTCTTTTAAATGAAAACATGGTTCACAATCATCAGGATGCGTAAATATGCCTTAATTTGTGGGATCAAGCCAAAGGCCATCATCTATCGGAGTCTGGGCTAGATGAGTCTGCTGTTCATTTGAGCCTCAGCCTTCACACCCCGTTGCAGCTTCTGCTGTGGAACCCAGACCTGAGTGTGTCTGTGGGAGTGGCAGGCAGGAAGCAGGAAGAGAACAGAGTCCCCGGAGGGTGCTTGCCTGCCCTGTGACGCTCTAAAGGAGTGCGCGCTCATGGCGCTGAGGCATCGCACGGACAGCAGACTTGAGGCCGGCACCAAACCCTGTCAGAAGCCCGTTCTTGTTCAGAGCCCGAGGTGCAGACCTGGTTCCAGCCTTACCTGCCAGAGTGTCCTGCACAGCTTGGCCTAGTCGGCCTCCTGGCACAGCCAGTGATTCGGCTCCTGGCAGCCCCTGGAGCCTTGGGTAATGCTGGTTCAAATCCCAGACAGGGTCCCAGAGAAACTAAGGAAGGGCCCAGGAAAATCAGCCAAGGGAGTGAGCCAGAACAGTGTCCCCTGTCCATGTCAGTGGAGGCAGACATTCTCCATCTTTTAACATCAGAAACTGGAAGGAAAAGAAGACCTTAGTAGGAAGGAAGGTTTTGTGGTTGTTCATAGAGACGTAAACAGATTTTCAGCCACTCACGTTTCTGAAAAATAGTTTTCTTTATTGAAATAACGAGATGAGTGAATGCTTCTGAATCCTTTCCCAAGTGCCTTATGTCACATGGCTCTTTGAAACCTCTGAGACCAGGAAGGAAGGGACCGTTACTATTGCCACCTGATCCCCATTTAGACGTGAGAAAACTGAGGCCACAGAGGATCATAACTTACAGGGATGGATTCTCGTAGTTCGGCGGTGTGAACTGGGGGCACTGGCTGGGTCTCTGCCTTCTAACACCCCCTTGTCCTACATTACCGAATCTCATTTCGTTGTTTCAACATTTAACGTATTGCAGTGCTGTGCCCACAGTATTGGGAATAATGCTGAAAACGTGTGAGAGAGGTAGGGAAATAGAAGTGCTGCATGTCTGTGCTATTTGGAATATTCTCTACGAGGTGCAGAGATGTCACATCAGATCTTCCATCAGGTTAAAGTGGTAGTACAGGCCAAAGGGTACAATGTGTTTATTCCTCCTAAATCTTTGTTAAATCGTCTATTTCAAAAAAAAAATGCATCTGGAACACATCACAGTGGGGCCACAAGTTCTTGAGCATGAAGGTTAAAATGTAGGTCCCTGGAGAAGTCCCGAGTAGTGCTCATCACCCCAGATGACACATAGGCGCCCCCACAGCACCACACGGACAGAGTTCGGGCTGCCCACACCTTAGCAGGACACTGTGCTTCTGTCCTCCTGCCACCAGGAAGACGGAGAAGATCACAGAGGTGTCTCCCTGAGAAGGTGGCCTCAGCATGACCTCATCCACTGAGAGCCCACAGACCAGTGTCTCACCCACGATAAAGAGTGGGGGAATGCTAGCTCTCATTTTGTAAGACTCCAATCCCTTCTGTATCAAAAAAGCTTCTTCAAAACCCATGGGCAGTTGACTGACATGCATGGCATTCCCTTTTAAAAAAGCAATGTAATATGCTGTAAAGTTATATGTAATCCAATGTAATATAAAGATGATTGTGGGAACCAGTAGTTAGCGTAATGGCTATGTCGCTGGACTCCCACGTAGTCGACCGCGGTTCGTGTCCCGGACCCGGTGGCTTAAAACTCACGCCGGGCGCGTGTGCGTGCGTGCCCAAGATCCCGAGAGGAGAATGGAGGAGAAGGGATTGCGGCGTGACCATCCCCCCGGGGGGTGATTTCTCGCTTTCTGTCTCTAAGTCTCTCTCTGTCTGTCTGGCGAGCGCACGCGCCCTACAGTGAAAATCTCTCAAAAAAAAAAAAAAGAAGATTATGATGATAATAAAAATTTTAAAAAATTCTAAAAAAACCATGGGCATAACAGCTTTATTCACAATAGCTAGAAGAGGCAACCCACGTGTCCATGGACAGACGATAAAGAAAATACGATCTACCCACACCGTGGAATTTTGTTCAGCCTTCCAAAAGGGAGGAACTAGACACGAGAGCAGTGGCAAAGCGTGATGCAACGGGAGTCTGACCACATGGCAAGGTTCTCTGTTTGCATCCAGAGACCTCCCTGAACATGCCAGGCATGCACAGAGCCCATGATCCAGGTTGTCTGGAGCTGAGCGTGGATCGTGGCATGAAGACGCTTTGGTCGTGCTGTTTCTCGCTCTCTCTCTCACTCTCTCTCTCTCTCTCTCATTTATGGAAGAAATAAATAAACTTTAAAAACAAAAAAGGGAAGTCCTGTCATATACTACAACATGACGAGCCTTGAGGACTTTATGCTGAGAGAAATAAGCCAGTCACAGAAAGATAAGTACCACATGGCTTCTCTACGTGAGGTGTGGATTGTCGTCAGAATTACGGACTCTGGAAGTGGCATGGTGTTTGCCAAGGCTAAGCAGAAGGAGAAAGGAGGAGCTGTTCAATAGACACAGAGTTTCGACTTTGCAAAAGGAAACATTTCTAGTGCTAGTATATAAACTGTTAACACTACTGAACTGTGCACTGAAAAACATTTAGAGAGTACATTTTAGACGAGATGTTTCTCAGCATCATCAAAAGTTGTTTAGAAATGTTTTACAGGCCAGCCCCTAGTATGTGGTTAAGGAGGCTGGATCCTGCAGGGCCAACTGCAGGGTTCAAGCCCCAGACCTGGTGTGTGTGCCCAAGATCCCAGAAGAGGGGAGAAATGGAGGAGAAGGGACCATCCCAATGGTGGGTGCTTTCTCACTCTCTCTGTATCTCACTTTCTCAGTGGGGCGCACATACCCTCTGGCCAAATTGAAAGAAAGAAAGAAATTTACGAGTGCTTCGTGGTGTGGGAGAAAGCCTCCTACCCCGAGATGAGAAGAGGTGCTGGCATCACGCCTCACACCTGACACCTCTGGGTGGTGTCCCTGCAGTGGCAGGCACCAAATATTGGGAAAAGTTTGGCTTTTTTTGTTTGTTTTTGTTTTAGAGAAATTTTTTCTATAGGGCATATATGCTCACCAGAGACAGAGAGAGACGAAAGATGAGAAATCATCCCCCAGGGGGATGACCACACCGCAATCCCTTCTCCTCCTCTTGGGATTTTTGGACACAAACACACACATGCCAGGCCTGAGTTTAAAGCCACTGGGTCTGGGACTCAAACCATGGTCAATCATGTGGGAGTCTAGTGATGTAACCATTATGCCATCTGCTGGTCACTTTTTTTGTTTTTCTATGCAGAAAAATGCATCATGACTTTTTTGACAACCCTAGCCTGGGTCATATTCTTTTTTTTTTTTTTGGAGAGATTTTCACTGTAGGGCGCGTGCGCTCGCCAGACAGACAGAGAGAGACTTAGAGACAGAAAGCGAGAAATCACCCCCCAGGGGGGATGGTCACGCCGCAATCCCTTCTCCTCCATTCTCCTCTCGGGATCTTGGGCATGCACGCACACGCGCCCGGCATGAGTTTTTTTAAGCCACCGGGTCCGGGACACGAACCGCGGTCGACTACGTGGGAGTCCAGCGACATAGCCATTACGTTAGACGGCCTGTTTTCGGCTGGATTTGTGATAACCACTTTATTCATGGCAGCTACTGTCTGAGACCCAGTACTTCCCCTAGAGTCACTTAATTCACCAGTATTTTCACTTTCCCAAATGAATTATTAAATAACAGAACTTCAGGTCGATTTTAAAAGACGTACGTGGACATCATACCTTTGTATATGAATTTAATTTGTGCTTAATTTATGACAATGATGTCAACATAACTTTAGTAAGGTGTATGACTTGGAGTAGGTCTTCAGGGGAGGGGAGGGGAATCTACTTGTTTAATCTACAAATGATGTTGGTGCTTCTTGTGTTTATATGGCATCGTTAAGTGTCTTGGAGAATACAGAAATAGGAATGCATTTCTTTTTCTCTCCCTCCTCCTAGCAATGCAGCAAAAAGGCCTCTGCCTCACTCATGTGGCTTCTGAAGTCTTCAGGCATCATCGCAAACCGGCCCTGGCCCCGGATCTCCCTCACGGTCATCACCACGGCCATCATCTTAACCATGGCTGTGTTCAACATGGTAAGTCCAGGGATGAGTCGGGGCCCACCCAGGCAGGGTGTTCTTCCTTCCCTGGCCCGTCCCAGGGCAATTTTGGAAACTTGCCCGTAGCTGCTTCGGTGACACTAATGGCTACCCATTCAATCCAGCATGCAACGGCTACAGCTGTGCTTTCTAAAAGAGGGTGCTTCTGCCTCCGCCCCCGTGAGGGAGAGGGCGGCTCCGTGGCACAATTTCTCACTCTTTCTCATGGCAGCTCCATGGGAGGCTACAGAGATGACATGAAATGTCACGGCCCTTGAGGCCATGTCCATTGTCATGGCCATTGCTGTCTTCACCCAGAGGGGAGTGTGAAGTGTGAGGAGGGAGACAGTTGTGCTGTTGACGGCGGGTGTGGCCAGTCCACACAGGGCTCGACGGTGCCTTCTAGTAGCTGATATTTATCCTGAGTTGGCACATTAACAGCCCTCAGGTGAGCCAGAGTGAGAAGAAACACATGTGCAGAAAATTTGCTCTTTTTAATCTCAAGAATTACACACTGATATGAATGATGAAATGTCCAGGTCATTGTATTTTAAATAAATTGTCAGATCTCACCAGGGTATCCTTTTTTTGGGGGGTGTGGGTGGGGGAGGTGTAGAGGTTTTTGCCTTAGGGCATGCTTGCCAAGGAGGGGTGAGAGGGAAAGGGAGAAATCACCCCCAAGAAGGGATGGCCACACCACAATCTCTTCTCCTCCATTCTCCTCCTAGGACCTTGGGCATGCACGCACATATGCCCAAGGTAAGTTTCAAGCTATCAGGTGCAGGACTCAGACAACAGTCGGACATGTGGGAGTCAGCAACATAACCACTACGCCATCTGCTGGCCCCAAACACTAGGGTATCTTTAACACCTGATGTTCAAACACCACGATCTAGAGTGGAGACAAGCAATAGTTAACCATGTTTTCTCCAGATGTAGGGGTTTGGTACCAAATTGCAAATGATCTGGATTCGTTCCGTTTCCAGCTGACAGCGCAGAATCATTTGTGAGGGTCTCAGAGAGAGCTGGACGGCACTGCCCCTTTCTTTCCTGACACTCTGAAACCACTGTCCTGTGATTGCCCACATCATTTTGCAATTCCTCCTGAGAATTTCTGACAGATTTATTAAAAATAAATCTTATGTAAATTTGTGAATCATGCAGGCAAGGAGTGAGTTGTAGTTAACTAGTAGCTGCCTAGCTTTTAGTTCCAACAAACCACAAACGTGATTCCTTCACCAGGCACAAAACAAGATTATATCATGTGTTCGTAATTTAGGACGACTTGGAAAAACCTAATTCTGATTTTGATATATTTTCCATTGTCTGGGAAATGTAAAATCTGGAAGTAAAGTTGAAAAGACATGGTGTTCATCCGCACTTTCTTACATGTTATGTTCAGCATGGTATTATTTACCCAATTATGATGAAGGATGTAGAAAATTAAAATGGGTCCAGAGAGGAGTTCTCCAAATAATGATGACACTAGAAATTCATTCTGTGGAGAAACCTGGGACAGCTTAACCTGGAAGGAAGGTAGACAAGGGGTTAGTAACTCTCTTGAGTGTTTAAGTGGCTCTAACTAGGGACCATCATGAGTTTTATTTTAATGTGACAAAGAAGACAGAAGAAAGGAAGCTGACTCACACTTGTAGAGTGATTGATTCCAGATAGAATGAAGAGCTTCTTGATCTTAGGGGTAGTTAATAAATACTACAAAGAGATAGGAGAGGGGGCTTCGGGGCGCATTGTCCTGTGATGGCCACGGTTTTCTATTGGTGTTCTAGATTGAGCCACCACATTATTACACAAGCTCCTTGCAGGACAGCTTCCACACGGTGTTTTCTACTCATGGTGTGCAAAAACGTAACACCCTGTCTTTACTTATTTAGTTTCTTGGTTATAGAGATATCACCAAAAAGTTCTTGTTCATTATTTTTTCAAGATCCTGGGTGCCTTAGACAGTCTTATTTGTCATCTGTTCGTTCCCTAATATTTAAATCAATTGGGTGCAGGATCTGTCTAATCTGAATGTGCAATTTTAGAGCCCGATGTTTGCCAAGAAATTTTGCCGTCTATTTTTTTTCTGATACAACTTTTCCCGAAGAATTAATATATCTGTTGTTCAACGAGGGATTGAGATCATTTTGATAAGTTCTTTCACAGTAAAGAAGGAAATTACTACATTTCTTTGATTTTTAAATCAGCATCTTGCTGGATTTTGTCAAATGGTGGTATCACTCTTGGAATATGAGAGGAATGTCCCCAAGAAGATACTAATCAAATGCCTTCTGATCTGCCCAAGTAAATGAGCTGAAGTATTTGACAAGCTATGTCTCCAAGGAAGAATTAATAGATCGGTAGAAGCAAACAAAGCAACCCTACAATACAGGACATTTTGACTGTTTTTGTTGTTGTTGTTTGATGGTTGGTTAGTTAGTTCGTTTGCTGTAAGGTGCATGTTACTTGCCAAAAAGAGAGAGAGCAAGTGAGAAATCTCCCTCCGGGAGGGATGGCCATGCTGCAATCCCATCTCCTTTATTCTCCTGTTGGGATTTTGGACATGCACGCTCACACCCCCGGTGTGTTTTATAAGCCATTGTATCCAGGACTCAAACTGGCACAGTTGGCCATGTGGGATGTTTATCCAATTAAACCTCCATGCCGCCTGCTGGCCCAGAAATATTTAACTTTTTAACCTTGAAAAGGTACGGTTAACCCTGTGCAGTAAACACAGCCTTGATTTATGGATAAATTCAATGTCTTTCAGTAAAAGGGACTGGACCCAAGTCATGATTCTCTGGCTCATCTTTCCAGAACATTCTAACCCCTGGTCATGGTATAGAGCAGTGACTGATCTTGGGCCCTTTGATAGCCTGTGCTGCCGTGGCACAGGCTGGGTGAGGGGTGTCAGGTCCCTCCTACCTTCCGGGCACAGGCACTGATGACAGCAACCTCACAGCTAAGTATCTTATTTTCTGGAGATTGGCTCTTTTGTTTTTAACTAAAATACCTTTTTAGAGCCGGCCCAGTGTCCTCGCTAAGGGAGCCAGATTCCACATGGCCATCCTTGGTTTGCATCACGGCCCTAAGAGCTTGAAAGCACACCAGCACATGTGCATGGATGTCTGAAACCCCAACAGGATGGAGAGATGGAGGAGAAGGGATTGAGGCTTGAACACACCCCACTGGGGGTGCTTTCTCCTACCCTCTCTTCATACCCTCCACCCACGTGAGCACGTGTGCTATCTGGCAAAAACAAAATAAAAAACAGAAAGTTTTTTCAACAGTCTGAGAATTTCCGTCTTCTCAAATTTTAGTCCTTCATAATGCATGCTATCAAGCATTTACAGGTAATAGGTACAAATGTATCTCTGTACTTTAAATGTGAGTAATAGTTTTCCTCTTTTCCTTTTTGAAGGTCTGGATATTTCTGTTGAATAAGTAAATGACTATGTATTGTTGCCCTGTGCCCTACATGTTTAGTACATACAAATGTATCCATTACTTGTAAATCCTTGATGATGGTTGATTTTGCTCATACAATCAATTTTCCTTCTTTTTTTTTTTTTTTTTTACTATAGGGCATGTGCACTCTCCAGAAAGACAGAGAGAGACAGACAGAAAGCAAGAAATCACCCCTAAGGGGGTGGCTAAGCCACACTCACTTCTCCTCCATTCTCCTTTCAGGATCTTGGGCACACACGCACACGTGCCCGGCATGAGTTTAAGCCACCAGGTCTGGGACTCAAACCGCAGTTGACTACATGGGAGTCCAGCAGCATAGCCATTACACTGACTGCTAGTCCTTTGTTTTCCTTCTTAAAACCAAAAATTTACAGAAAACTATTGACTCTTTATTTTTAAGAATTATTTTATTTATATTATTTTATTTTTTAATTTGATCAGAGAAGAACAGAGTGAGAGAGATAGAGAGAAAGTGAGAAAGCAAGCTGCCAGGTCCAGGACTCGAACCACAGTCAGCCATGTGGGAGTCCAACACCCTTAACCACCACACCACCTGCCAGTCCCACTATTGACTCTCTTACTGTTTAAAACAAGATGGTGCAAATACTAAAAAGAAATAAAAAATAAAAGATCCAAAGGCTTGGGTTTCACGGTAGAGAGTTTAAAGCTCACACAGCGATGCACACACATGAGTCTCACCACACCCCTGCTTCTGCTTTGTGCATTCTTAACGTAATGTCTGAGAGAAGTGCTTCCATTTACTTAACATAGTCTTGAGCTTCTGGGATCCTCTATTCCATATGTAGCACAATAATAAATAGTTATTTACTTATTCAATAGAAATACCCAAAGCTTCAAAAAGGAAAAGAGGAAAACTATCACTCACATTTAAAATAGAGACATCGGATTGTTTGCACAGTCCTAACGACACACAGGGGACACAGTAATTAATGACCTTTCCACCAAACTGCTGATTTTTTAACCTCCTTTACACTAATTCATTGAAAAACATTCTCTTCGCAGTTTTTCCTGAGCGACTCAGAGGAAATCGTCCTTCCAACTGCTAATGCGTCAAACATGAGCTCTTCTGCCTCGAGTAGCCAGGCGGCAATCCTGCGTGCACAAAATCTGTTTTTCCTTCCGGTAGGAACATTGCTCTCTTATTGCTTCTGCTGTTTCCCTGCAAGTTGTTGGCCTGTATTACTCAGGGCGTTCACCTTAGGGTCTGGTCTAGGCTTCTCTTTTCTTCCCTGGTCTCTGTTCTTGGGTCAGTCCTGAGTTTACACCTCTGGCCATCATTAGTCCTGGGCCCCTGGGACTAGAGAAACCCACACTCGCAGACTTACGATGTCATTCGGACCACACTGGCGTTTGCCGTCCTGACTGCTCCTGCACTTCCAGCGTGTGTCCTACCATATGGCCTTCAGTCAGGCCACAAGCTCTCTGGCTTCATTGCTTATAGATTTTGCTAATTGGCCCTGTGACTTCGTATCACCCTAAAGCTGTGACCATGGAGTTCACATCCCGTATTTCTGCTTCTCCTTTGGCAGGCACGAAATGCTGTCCCCTGGTTCCATCCTCAAATAACTCTTGCTAACTGACTCATTTTAACCAAAGAACTCCAAGTGAAATTTTAAAACTTACTAATGCATCAGTCTTTTAAGCCAAAGAGTTCAATCAGTCATTTACTGCGTAACGACTTCTTTCTTCCATGAACTGTTTGTGAGAGAAAGAACAGAAGAAAGAAAGGTTTTGATACTTTCCTTCTCATTTCCGGGATAATTATCTAAAATAACACAGACTATTCCCATCCCGTTTCCGTTTCAAGCAGTCAGTCTGCGAATGCCCGGTGAGCTCTTTGGGGACTGGAAGTGGTCACTGCTACGTCCTCTTTTGCAGTTCCTGCTTTGCTCCATCAGCTCTGACAATAATGGAGGCCTCTTCTCCTTACTCTTCTTTCCCTCATTTGCTCCCCTGCCATTTTGCTTTGGTCGTTTACCTTCTCGCCATTTTAATTGACTGGCTCATGGGCGAGATGACCAAGGTCCCATAGCAATGTCCCCATGAGCTTGGGAAGAGAGGGTGGAATGGCTTTATCCCTTATCCAAGGGTGCAGACTTTTAAATTAGGCATTATCTTAAGCCAGAGAGGAATGGACATTGACTCTTCTATTCTACGTAATGAGTCACGCAGGATTCATTGTGCAGTGTGTTGGCGGTAGTCTCACTGTGGGCAGTGCGGAATCCTCTGCTGTAGGGAACGATTTAAACCAGCTGTGTGGTCCACCTCTCTCTCCCTGAACCAACAGCACACCTGTGCACATGATCGTAGCCCCACAATAGAGAGCGTACCTGCCAGAGTCCCCCACAGTCTTCACATGCCACTTCCGGTTTGGTTTTCTCTTGTTTTTTAAAGTAAAGACGCATTTTCACAGAGGGAAATAAAAGGTAAAATTGGCAAGATTTTTTAAAAATGTCTCCATCCACTACATTTAGGGAGAACCGCCCACCATCTTGGCATCACAAAGGATGATGGTAATCATTACGAATTTCACATAGGCAAGTCTGCATGAAGTCTTCCTTGTGGTCAAAGCAAATAGACACTCAGGGTGGGAGGCGTGTGGCCCCACTGTGGCTCTTCCAGTTCTGGCACCTGTCCAGCTCCCAGGGCATTCCGTGCTTGCCTTGATCAAAGCTTTCAACTCAACTCCTTTGTGTTTTGACTCGACCTTCTGGCACAGTGTTTCTCCGTTAGTGGAATGTCTAGGCTTTCCTCCATTTTTAGCAGAGGTGTATGTAATGATTTACATCCTCTTAATGAAGTAAAGGATTGAAAAGCTGAACAAACTCAGCACATTATAATTTTTTTAATTCTGTAAATACATAGAGGGTCACACTATTTTTACTTTCAAGAAATAAATGCCACTTACTTAATAATGACATGGTTTTGACATAGAATTTTTGTTTTTTTCTCCAGAAACATTTTTGGCAGTATATTTTTATTTTCATTCTTCGTACTGTCTAGGTCAGTAGGCCAAGGACTGAATGATTCTTTTCTGAACCAGATCTGTTCAGGCATTGCCCACTGGCCTCCACGTTCACAGCTATTCATAAATGGACCAGACAAGCTTGGCAGTGGCTCCCAATTTTGGGAATGTCAACCTTCCCCAGAAGACTTCCTAAGTGTCTGTCTGTCATATCCCCTGCTCCAGTACTTCATATACAGCTGCATCCTGGGATTAATATCCTGTTCCGTCTTCCTGCGGGTGAACTACGAGTTGAAAATGCTGATTATGATGGTGGCACTGGTGGGCTACAACACCATCCTGCTCCACACCCACGCCCACGTCCTGGACGACTACAGCCAGGTCTTGTTCGAGAGGTGAGCCACCTCCTCTGCCTTCTCTTCACCTTAGTTCTTTCAAGGGGTGTTGATAACCGAGTGAGAATGGGGTAAATGCAAACCAGCAATGCCATTGCCATCCGGAACCATTGAGTGAGTTTCCTTGACGTGATAATTCAAAAAGCTGTGGCATGTTTGTTACGAACTGCATGGAATATGTACCAGCACCTCCACTTTAGGAAGAGGATTTGTATTTTAATCTGTAGTGTATTCGTAATACGCATCAGGGGTCTCAACCTCAGCACTGTGGACATTTGGGACTGAATAATTCTCTGCTGGGGGGGCTGTCCTGTGCATTGTACAATGTGGAGTGACGTGCCTGGTTTCTACCCACTGAATTCCAGCCATCACCCCCAGTCATGACAACCAAAACTGTCCCTAGAAATTGCTAAATGTCCCCTCCCCAAGAGAATGAAATGCCTGTCAATTCTGAAAAATACAAAAAAAAAATTATGTATTTGACAATGTAAATGGTTATATTCACAAGTTCTGCTGCTAAATATTTTATTAGAGATTTTCTAAAATACTACTGCAAGAAAGGGGAATGTCAGGAGCAGCAGATGACATAATGGTTACTTCGCGAATTTCTACCTAGTCAACCATGATTCGATTCCCGGACCTGCAACTTAAAACTTAAGTCAGGCATGTGTGCATGCATACCCAAGATCTAAAGAGAACAGAGGAGAAGGGATTTCAGGTGGCCATACCCCCGGGTGGGTGATTTCTTGCTTTCTGTCTCTGTTTCTTCAGTGAGTGCATGTGCCCTATAGCAAAAATTTCTCTCAAAAAAAAAAAAAAAAGAAAAAAGAAAAGAAGAGAAGAGAAAAGAGATGAGATGAGAAAAGAAAAAGAAAGAGAAGAAAGAGAGAAAGAAGAAAAAGAAAGAAAAGAGGAACTGTCAGGCTTAGAATTTTTTTTTTTTGAGAGAGCTTTTTACTATAGGGTGTATATGCTCACCGGAAAGACAGAGAGAGAGACAAAGAGACAGAAAGTGAGACATCACCCCCCAGGGGGATGGCCACGCTGCAATCCCTTCTCCTCCATTCTCTCGGGATCTTGGGCACGCACACACACGCGCCCGGCGTGAGTTTAAGCCACCAGGTCCAGGACTCCAACCGCGGTTGACTACATTGGAGTCCAGCAACATAGCCATTACGCCAACTGCTGGTCCCAGGCCTAGAAATTCTATGTTCTGCAAATAACTTGACTTCTAAGAAAAGGTTTGCTGGTGCCCGCCCACCCAGCCTTAGGACCAGCAGCAGCAGAAACAGTCCTGCCTGGTCCACTCACTCAGGTTTATGAAGTTTTCTATCGTCAAATTACTTCCATATGCTTACACTAAACATTTCACTCTCTGCTTTAAAAAGTTGTTTTAATCATGTTGATGTTCTCTATTTTACATCTCAATAGCAAAACAAAGTCTTATGTTGGATGTTCGGGTTATTTCTAAACCCAGGAGGCTTCTGAGTGCTTTGCCTCCTCCCCATAGAAGTTCTCTATTCCTTTAAGGTTAAAGAAATGCCTTACATATGTGCATGGGTTAGCTCCTTCACGATGCTCTTATTGACAGCACACAGCCATCTTGGCTGTTGGAGACCCAGAGTGAAGAACAGTGGTCTCCTCACTGCAAAGACATTTCTTCCCGTAAAGACACTTCAGAAGCACAACTGCAGGGACCAGGCAGTGGCACAGTGGTAGCACAACTGGGCCCACATGGCAAGCTCCTGGGTTCACATCCCAGGCATCCGTGTTCGAGCTGGGTATGCACGTATTCCTGCAGCCCTGGAGGGCTAAATCCGGGGATAGACCATGGTCTGAGGCCCTGTTGGGGAGAGGTGCTGTCTCTTTCTTTCTCTCTAGGAGAAATAAAGAAGTAAACTTAAACAAACACAATTACAGCATATCTCTTCACCAAATTTAATTTTCATCATCTTCCACACCATGAAGCCCTGGTAATCTGTAATCAAGCTTAGGGCAATGGAGTTGCAAAACTACATAATTGTATTAAGGAATTTTCTGATTCCTTAGCCAAGATGAGAATGCAATCAGAAGTGAATTTTCCAATAAATTCTCAAAACTGCTTTGATATTTTTCTACTGAGTCCAGAGAGTCTGCATATCATATTCCTAAATAAGCATAGCATTACTGATTTTTACATGCAGATGGGGCTATGACGTGTCCCCTTATTAAATTTATAGCACCTGAGTATGTTACACATCTGAAGCCAAAGGAGAAATTAGATTCACAAGTTTCTGATGGGGAGAGAATTACTTCTGGCCACCTGAGTGCAGGGCGTTAAGTGACACATGATCTCTGAGCTTCTGCTCAGAGCAGAGTAATTATTAGGATGAAGAAAGAGTTTTTATTTTTAGAACACTTTTGTGATATTCAGGGTCTTTCATGTTTATTGTCTTGGTTCTTCTTTACAATACCTATGGCTGGGAAGTGCTAACACGGAAGGCCTTGAGGGCCTGCCAGCATCTCTTCCTGTGGGCGTACTTATCCTTTAGCTCCTAGTCTTCTTTTCACTCGCTCTTTTAAAATGTATTTATTTATTTACTTATTTCATGAGTGAGAAACAGAGAGACAAGCACAGGTAACTGGGAATCACACTGCAATCTTCTGCCTCCCCAGCTTCCCCAGCCGGCTAGAATCACAGGTATACCTGTCCATGCCTGGTACTTGGTACTCACCCATCAGCCTCCTGCTCTGTTGGGGACATGGTGACCTGGAACCAAAGCCCAGACTTCCACGTAACTTGTGGCCCTGCAGAGAAGCACCTTACCACTGCTCCACATGGGGCTAAGCTTTAGTTCCATGTCTCAATCAGAAGGTTCTGGCATGTCTCAAACCAGTTCTTTCCCAGACTCCCAGAAATATTCATCCACTGAATGACAAGAATCACTGAAATAATAGCATTGTACCTCAACAAATGTTCTCCCATCCCAATTTAAAACCAACCCCAAATGAGAGACCGTAAGAGCAGTTGGGAATTCCGTCCTGATTTCTCCAGCCTCAGTGCCTGTTTGATACAACCCTACACCTCCTGCCCGAGGCAGAAACGATCGAGTGCATGTTCTTCCTCTTTTCTGAGATTCAAGAGCTTTTCCCATGAGATGACTGTAAAGGTCCATCGTCCTGTGCCTGGTTTATTAACACTCACACAGCTCCCTCGGGTAGGAAAGCGGGATTTTTCCCTCCAGCCCCCACCCCCCCAAATAAAAACCACAAAAACAAAAACAAAACAGAATCAGGCAGGTCTGGATTGCTATGCTTCGTACAGTGGTTTGTCCCCCAAAGATTCATGCCAGTGTAATGGCCTTGGGAGGTGTTGAGACCTTTAAGAGGTGAGACCTCATGGGTGGTAACTGGACCGTGAAGGCTTCGTTCTCCTGAGTGGATGAATGCATCCTCATGCAAGGCTGAGTTCCGTATGGCGCTCGTGAGGAGGAACATGTTCCCGTGTTGGTGCGTTGCTAAGGAAGATGGCTGCCCAGGTCTCTCTCCTTACCTGCCCACCATCCTCCCTGCTCCTGTCAGCCAGGCTGTGATGCTGAGCTATGTTTAGGACTTCTCAGCCGCCTGAACCATAAGCTGAATTAACCTTGATTCTTTATGTCACTCAGCCTCCGGTCTTCTTTGCAACGTAATAGCAGACTAAGGCAGGCCTGGGTCCTGAGAGTGGACAGGGTAGGTCCCAAAGCCAGAGGTGCCCTTCAAGTGCGGGCTGGCTCAGAGGACAGCCAGATGTCCCCTCTGGTTGTGGCTGTGTCACTGAGCTGTGGCCCTTGGGCCTGTGCCTTTGCTGGCCTTACTGTGGGCATCTGGCCTGGCCTTTTCTCACTCCTGCTTTCCTGCTTCTCGCTCATCTTCTCTCTGGGCTGTAGCAGGTTAACGTCCTTGCTGCCCACCGGGGCACTGGACCTGCTTCTCAGTGGTAACGAACACTCCAGTAGACCCACGTCGAGCTTTGGCACTCACCCTCTGCTCCCTGCAGCCTGAGCAGCTCCTCTGCCTCATCCCACCTGGAAAAGGTGGAAGGTACCCCCTATGGATGAAGGGGAACCAGCCTCTTGGTCTGTTAGACCCTTCTTGGTGATGTATTTGCTGAGGACGTTAACACACTCTCATATCGAGCGAAAGAACCAGACGCCACTGCTAATCCCCAGGGCTTACACTGCTGCTGGTTTAGTGTGGGTACTCAGTGCTCCTGGACAGTCTCAGCGCCCCAGTACTGACCGGAATGAACTCTCACATCATGCACTTCCCTGAAGACACAGCAGACCTCCAGCTCACTGAGGGTGTGTCTTTTCCTGTCAGCATCGTTTTTGTTTGTATCATGAAAGTTCAGAAGAAAGTTTGGAGAGGGTGTCTGTGTGAAGGCAGTGTCCACCCTGAATACACTAACTGACAGTGTGGTTACCCTGTACGTGGGCTCCCCGTGACCCCTGTGGCAGGGCCTTTTCTGAACCAAACATGTCATCGATAATGGACAAGTCACAAGATGATATAAACTAACAGGGAAATTTTTTTGCCAATAGAATTTTTAAAAAATCAGAAATAGGAAGACACTTTTATAGATTTATGAATGTAGAAAACAGAACTTTTATGGGGGAAAGAGACTACTTTGAGAGAGTGTGCCATTAAAATTCCATGAGAATGTTGGAGCCAGCAGGTGGCATAGTGATTGGGGTGCCGGACTCCCGCATGGTCAACTGCAATTCGAGTCTTGGACCCGGCAGCTTGAAATTCCCACCAGGTGCATGTACATGTGTGCCCAAAATCCTGAGAGGGAATGCCAAGGGATTGTGGAGTGGCCATCCCCTTGGAGGGTGGTGTGGTGGGTGACTTTTGCTTTCTGTCTCTCTGGTGAGTGCACATGCCCTGTTGCAAAAATCGCTCTCTCTCAAAAACAAAATAATAATAATAAATCCATGAGAATGGAGCAGCAATGTCTGACGCTTCACATTACCTGCTTA